AACTCATGAGCAGGAATACCATTTCTCAAAGTGCAATAACCCATGTACGTAGAGGGATTCCCCGGCTGATGTAGAAGGCTACGACTGGGAGAAGTCTCTATAGTCGACACGTGTTGCCTTTTCCACGAATATTCAGAACCGTCTTCTGTATCTACAGGTTGCGGGATGATGTCTGGATTCTTCTCATCACTATCACCTTCGCCACCACTAGAATCGTGTTTTGATATGGGACTACCACCTTTGAATAAAATGAAAAGTATTAGAGACATGACAATATGAAATGGAATCATAAGATTCCATATATGAGATTTACCAAGAAGTTGGTAGACAAGTACCTACGATACCCACAATGATGGAGCAGTTGAATGATAAAAAAAAAGTATATTTACTCTCTTGAGTTTCACGATAAGTCGAGAAAGATGGATCGAATGTCATAGTTTGTTGTTAACAGAAAAAACTATTTCAGAAAAATTATAAATATTTCATCAAAAGTAATCTCTATTTAGTTTTTATTATGAGCTTTTCGATGTTCACAGAAATTCAAAAAACGGTGTGAAATGTGTATTTTTCTGAGATGCTGAGAAGTTTGAGAACCTTTTTTGTGTTATATGATGCCGATGAGCGATTTCCGTCCAATGTTTCCTTATCAATTCAAATTGAACTGAATCGCTGCCAGATGAGTACCAGTCAAAATAAGGAGTGCCCCAAGGATCAAATCTGGGGCCTCTATTGTTTTTCATCTTTATTAATGACCTATCAGCGGAAATTAAATATTCAAATTGTTTACTCTTTGCCGATGACCTTAAATTTTATAGAAACATAGATTGTGTTCAAGATTGTAGTAAGCTGCGAAAGGATATTGAAAAAGTTTACCAACGGAGTGTAAAAAATAAGTTAACATTTCATACGTCATATACATAATAATCGCAACATGTTACAAAATTTATGATAATTATCTTAACTGTCCCAAGTTACGTAATTTAATGAACCGAAGAAACCCTATCAAAATTATAAGATCAACCTCTTTTTTCGAAATTTCATTAGTCACCACGACTCAAGGTACCCCAATCGTAACGATGCGGAAAGTCGCAAATAATACACTATTAATGTCCGAACTCAGCTTTGTCCAACCCCCTAGAGAATTTTTCACTGGTTTGAAAAAGTATATATCAAGTGTTAATCAATAGCTTCTCTGTCATATTTTTGGATTAGTTACTTTTTTATTTTCTTCTCATTACACAGGTATAGCTTCAGTTTCTTTTATTTTATACTGGCTATGAATTCACGATACATCTATAACGATTCTCATGTAATTAGTTAACACCTGTATGAGAATAAAGGAATAATAAATAAAAGAGTCATGAATATCAACCAGACAGTTAGCAATGATGTTGATGAATGCACTATTCGACGTTGGTTTGCAAAATTTCGTTCCAGATATTTCAGCCTCGAAGGAGCTTGAAGTGGTCGAGCTACAGTGATCCAGGACGAGGATTTGAGGACCCTGGTGGAGTCTCATGCATCATAAATGGTACGTGGTGATTTTTGATGTTTTGAAACGTAATAGGGTGGAAAAGCTCGAAAAAAGGTGCCGAATGATTTGACAGAAATTATCACTTTTTGAAGTCTGTTCAAAGTGGGTCCGCTAGAACAACAGGAAACATTCAGGACAATGGTTGGACACCGATGAGCCACCAAGGTACCTCCCAAAGGCTTAACTCATTAAAAAATGACCATGGGTACAGTATGGTGGTCACCGGTTGGTGTGATTCACTCTTACCGGGCAGAACCATCACAGCAGAGACCTATCGTGAAGAAATCGACGAAATGTTCCAAAAACTGCGTCAGCAGCAAGCTCTGGTAATCCAGGCCAAAGATTTGAAGGCCCTGGTGGGGACTGACCCATCACAAACGATGCGTAGTACGGCGGAAGAACTGGGCGTTAGTTTCCATGCCGTTTTTGATGGTTTTAAACATATTCAATAGCGCCAGAAGTGAGTGTGATGGAAAGTGGATCATCTACGACAACAGGAGACGTTCAAGACAGTGATTGGATGTTGATGAGCCACCCAGGCATTTCTCGAAGTCAAAAATCTACAAAGAAGATCACGTTTACTGTATAGTGGTCAGCAGCTGGTTGATTCGTTAAAACTTCCTGCAACCGGGCAAAAATCACAGCAGAGTCCTATTGTGGGGAAAAGACGAAATGTACCAAAAATGCACCAGCTGCATCCGGCAGTGGTCAACAGAAGTGGTTGGTTCGATCCTGCTCTACGACAACTTTTGTCCGCACGTTTCACAAATCATCAACCGTGAATCAAATTAAATGACCGTTGCAGTTCTGCCTCACCCAGCATACTCTCCAGACCTCTAGCCATCCGACTACCATATTTTTGAGCATTTCGATAAATTTCTCACTGGTACAACCTTCACTAATCAGGTCCAGGCAGAAATGGCCTTCGTTGACTTCGTCGAATCACCTATTAAGGAGTCAGAACTGCTACAGTCAAACTTTCATATAGTATCTGTGAAGAAGTAGTAGAGAAAAACTTACATCAATGACCTTGTAGATGCGACCACTTATATTATTGAATCGTTCCCTATAAAAACTGTGACTTTTTTGAAAATTATGGCGTAGGAGCCAGTTTCTCTGAATTCGATATGACGTCATTTATGGCAATATATGTTTGGTTCAGATTTCAAATACTCCACCCCACAAACAACTGAAACAAGACCATTGTACTATGATTCCGCTGTCACCTGGTAAACTTGGTTGTCTTTCCATTTAGACTTGTGATGCACTGTTTGGAACCTTTGCTATAGTAATGAATATAACTGGAGATTTCTCCCAACACCAAACCGTTATTTCAACACTTCGATACGTGTTTCGATCACCAAGTGATCATTTCCCTCTTGAATGCGATCACTTGGTGATCGAAACACGTGTCGAGGTATTAAAATAATGGTTTGGTGTTGGCAAAAACCTCTAGTGATATTCCCATTTAGAGTTAGGAAATTGTAACTTGTAACACCGGAATTTTTTCAGTTTCAATTTCAAGTCTCAAGAAAAGGAAAAAATGATTCGACCAAAAACTTGAAAATAAAATACTCACCACCCTTATCACTGAGAGCAACTTCGCTTGCTGAACCCCGATGTTCCATATTGGCCCCAGCAATCATATTCTTGTGGCCTTTACGCCTGTTGTGATTATGAGTGCACTGCAGCCGAAGCACCAAAATGACAGTCAGAGCAACAATGAGCAGAGCGGACAAGACTCCAGTTAGAACACTCATCATCGGCGTGAATCTGAATCCACTGCGGTGATTTTCTATGGAAATGAATGTCACGAATTACTTTTTCGAGAGTTGTAGAGAANATCTTGATATTTATATTGTCAATACCTGAAGCATTAGATTTTATTTTTTTGATAGCAGTCAAAATATCATCAGATATATCGGTGAGGGAAAAGTTTATAGGAGCGTTCAATCCATTATTATTGTAGAATGAAAGAGTGTCATTATTTACTATTGAATGTCCAGCCACGTTTAAAAAATAGTCATTGATTTCTTCATGTCTACGTAGTTCAATTGACAGGCTATTGGTTTGCGAGGATGATTTTGTGGTAACACCCGAATCTGCAAGATTTCTCCATGTCACTTTTGAATTGTTTTTATTTTTGTTCAAAACAAATTGTATATATTCTGTTTTTTCACGTTTCATTGCGTCATTGACGTAGTTGCGTAAAGTTACATAGTACTGTCTAGCGGCTGCTGTCTTTTCTTTAAGATATTTGGCATGAGCTCTATCACGGGTTTTCATCAACAAAATGTATTTTTTTTATGTGGAAATTGAAATTTTTCTATCGGGCTTTTTTTTAGGTATTTTCTCTTTACACAAACTGAAAATGGATGTAGTGTCGCAAATCCAAATAGAATTTGATAAAAATAAAAAATATTTTTTCTGTCCCTCGAACTGTGCAAAGATTTGATTCAGTTAACCATAGTATATTGATGAAAAAAAAATCATTCAATATTGGAATCAGAGGTCATCTATCCTTAAACTTATTTCTATGATATAACTTGTGGTGTACCCTAAGGATCCATCCTAGTTTCTGTTTTTTTTCTTATTTATTTCATTAGGCAATTCAGAACTGAATGGTTAAATTTAATGTATATAATACATATGTAACAGAATTTAATTTTTTTTTCAATGTCAAATAATACTCGTATTTATTATTGAAATAGATAATACATAACATTAAAATGAACAGTTCAAAAAAACTTTACAAAACACTCAAAGGCGCGAACTCGTTTCCTCCTTTCCATAAAAAAGGATGTATGCATTTCCACTCACAAGCGATTTTGGTGAAATTGGTGACACTTGTGAATCATTGTATTCGTGCCACGTGCCATTAAAAGGATGTCTGCAGAATGCTGTATAATGCCCGCTGTAGGTAAACTCTCTGTGATTCGAAAGTGCATATAGATTATAGCGACAAGGAGCCACATTATCTGCTGCATAATTATTCATATCTAATCCATCTAGAGGAAATTCGATGACAACATTTAACTTGCCTCTGAATCTTTCTGTTAGAGAAAATCTTTTAAAATGAATAACTAAAATATGGGAAAACTTATGGATCGATAGAGACTTTCTGCATTTTCTTCTTTCTTTGCAACTTAGAGACGTCGATTTTTCATGTCCATCCAAAGTTTTCTCTCTTGTGCAGAAATTCAAGAACTGTGATAAACTAAATTGGTTAGTTCTTTCTGGTATGGGGAGTGACAAATCCCAGAAAGGATCAAAGGTTACAAATGAGTAAAATGGTAAAATTGAAATATTTGCTGATGATACTACTTTCGCATTATTGATATGAATGGATTCTTGAAATCAATAAAAACAAGTGAACTTCAATGACAAAAAACAAATAGCGGGTTTCAACTACTTTTCTGAAGTTGGTCAATATGATTGAGAAGGAGAAAGTTTTTTGGCTCCTTCTTCATCATTTGTTAAAACTGTGGCAAACTTCAAAGAAAGGAAGGAAGGAAATAACCACAATAAATAGTAGGAAATAAAAAAACTCTTTTGAAACAATCATGATCATTGAATTTCACCAAAATCACTTTGTACTATTTACTCTGAACTACAAACATTATATATTGAACTGGAACAGATATCATTCATATAATCATCACGAATATGACAGTTACAGTTTGGTGAAATTGCAGTTTCGAAACTGAAACAAGTTTATTGATTCTATTTTTGAAAACGCAACTAGTCGCAATCGAGTCCTTTTACTGTAAATCCGTAATGCATTTTTCGCATTACTGATATGAATGGATTACTGAAATCGATGAAAACAAGAAGACTTCAATGACGAAAAATAAATAGCGGATGGTTCCTTCCTCATCATTTGATAAAATTGTGTTGAATTTCAAAAAAGGAAGAAAGAAAATTACCACAATGAGTAATAGGAAATAAAAAAAACTCTTTCGAAACAATCATTACCATTGAATCAGTCCAAAATCTCTTTGTACCATTTCGTCTGAACTACAAACATTATTTATTGAACTGAAATAGATATCATTCATAGAATCATCACGAATATGACACATGAGATTTTATTGTAGTTATTTTATTTCTTCGGTTAATCCAAAGTTTCGCTTATTTTTTGGTCATGAACATTCTACAAATGTTTCAGCCAGAGATTTGAAGTAGTTAATCTGAAACTATCAAATAAAATCTTGCATCATTGGATTTGTCCAACTATGAATTAGCTGCCAAAACGTCAAGCATCTGTATAATTTCCTAGCTCTTTATTTGACAGGCCGAATTAATAGATTCGACAAGTTATTGATGAATAGGACCTTTCTCTTTGTGGCAATTACTCTGAATTCAAATATGATCATCCATATGTAATTTTCTTCTCTTCAATCAAAAGCAGCAAATCTATATCACCTAAGCAATTCATTATTTTTTTAGTCATTTCATGAAGTTTCAAAAACTTTCCGTCTCAAACCCAGTTCCGATGCAGTTTTCTGCCGTATCATTTACCTTGTTCCGCTGTCAGCTGCTTTTCCGGAAGTCGGAGTGTCGAAGCTTGCACCATAGATGGCTCGCTACGTCCTTTGGCGTTATAAGAAAAAAGAGTGAGCTGGTACTGTATACCTGCAGACAAATCTGCGACGAGAAATCTTGCTACCGGAGATGTCAAATTTGCTTTGATTTCTTGGGTTTGGCTTTCTCTCACCTGTAAATTGAACAAATGTTATTTCATCCCAGTCTATGAACGTTTTTCCGTGTGATTTTGCCAAAAGGCAACAATACTCATAAAAACTGGAATTCGGGTTTTATCTACACATTAATTTCAATTTGACACTGTACGGGGGGGTTGCTTCTACCTTAGGGTGAATGTCATGTGGTGGAAATTGTTTTATTGAAAATGAGACCGGGGATGAATACATTCCCACCAACTGAGTCTTTTG